CCCCGCATCCCCGCTTCCCCCAAACAGCCCTGCGGTCCCAGACACGCCGTGAAGGATTGCAGAAAGACCGCACTGTCCACGCACTTAAGTTGACTCGAATGTGTGTTTCTTCATTTGTAAATAACTGGAATCTCTGAAAATGGAAAAGACGCGGCCTCGACGTCCCCTGCCACTCCACCTCGACACTGGCCAGCTCTGTTAGAAAACAATCGCTGGTCCCACTCAGGGTGGGTCGCGCCGTTGATACCATCGGCTTTGGCACCTGCCCATCTGCTGGGGTTCTCCTGGGGGAGCTGGGAAGCAACGTGCAGGGCCTCCCCCTGGTCCTGATCCAGAGAGCCCTGAGTGACACCTGCCAAGGACAGGGTTTCTATCATCTGAAGGCCACTGGATGGCTGTGCTCTGTGCACTAAAGCTCAGCGGTGAGCAATGAGTGGGGCTGACTGGCCAGGGTCCTGGCTTAGCTCTGCTGTATTTAGCTCTCTCCCAGCACCGCCTGCAGGCTCTGCCCACTGGAGGCCCTACCTAGGGCCTGCGAGTTGCCTGAGAGCCCTGTCCTGTCCCATCTTCCTTCCATCACACTTGGTCACCCTCTCCAAGTACCCACTTGTCCCAAGCTGCCTTCTCCCACAGAGGAAAAATCCACATACAGGGATCAGCTGCTTCTGGTTCCATCCACCTCTCAGGGAAGATAGCAACGCCTGAGCCCCTGGGTGATGGAAGGCAGGCGCCTCGTCTGGCCGCTTGGGCGGCTTGGGAGGGCTCACTTTATGAATCTAAGTAAACCACCTGCTTCCTGATCAGGAGATGACCTTCCTGCTTGAACACGGAGCGTTATACAACAAGGCCACACCCCTTCACTGGAACGGGTGGGGCCAGACTCCAGAACGTTTGGGATTTTAGAAATAATGGGTGATGCATATACCACATGTTACATAACACCCCGCAGCAGCACCACCATCACCACCACCACAGTCAGACTCATTAACCCTGGTTTCTGCACTAAAGTCTATCCATATTCACACTGAGAGAGAAATAGAAGGTCCAGTCCAGAGTTTGTCACTAATGAGCTTCGATTCCAACTTTACGACAGAACTGTTCATGTCCAGCAGTTTGGATTTACAGATTCTGGAGAAAGGACTGTGGGGTACAGAAAGGCAGATTCCCTCCGAGTGTGGGTGCCTAGGAAGGCGCATTGCCATGGCTTCCTCGGGATTCCATGAGCATCAGTGCTGGAGACGGTGGCGGGCTTTCAAGTGACCACAGCATCATTACTAAAGCAGGCGGTGCAGCCCTAGCCGGTTTGGTTCAGTGGAGAAAGTGTGAACCTGCGGACCAAAGGGTCCTGGGTTTGATTTGGGTCAAGGGCACGTACCTCAGTTGCAGGCTCCTCCCCAGCCAGGGCCCTGGTCGAGGCGCGTGCAGGAGGCAACTAATCGATGTCTTTCCCTCTCTCTTCCACTCTCTTTAAAAATCGATGGAAAAATATTTTCAGGTGAGGATAAAAAAAAGGGGGAGGGGTGCAAGCTTGGGATTCAAATCATTTCTGGGGCCTCTAAAAGAATCATTTTCCTGGGTCTCCTAATTTGGGGAAATAAATAACTGCTCTGCAGATCAGACTTTGCCTACACACTCCCAGGGGAGTTGGTGCCAGCTGGTCGTCAAACCAGGAATCATCCGGACCCTGGGTTATGAGCTCCTGGAATGCCTGGCCCTCTGCAAAGACCAGATGCTGCTCCAATTTATGGAGGAACCTGAACAGCCAAAACAATTTCTTTTAAGGACAATTGGCAGGGAAGCTGTGGCAATGATGCCTTGGAGGGAAGTGGACAAGGGGCTAGAATTAACCCTAACCACTTTCATATTTGTCTTTCTCTTCCTTTCCTGGAAGCAACCAGCGTGTGTTCATGGGACTTAAAAATGTGCAAGAAGCATTGAAGTCAGCCAGTCCTGCACTGGAATTCCCAGCTCTGACAAAAACTGCTGCATGATCTTGGGCAAAGTTACTTGCCTTCTCTCAGTCTCAGCTGCTTCAGACATAAAATAAGGATACCTACCTTTCAGGGTTGTTTTGAGGATTAATGAAATAAGTGAAAGCGCCTAAAGCAGTACTTGTCACACAGAAGGCGCTCAATAAATGCTACTTATTATTTCGGGGGACGTGCATTAAGTCTGGGAGTCTCTGCCCAGGGGCAGGGCTCATCAGTGGCATTGCCTGCCCCTCCGGCCTCCTCCACATGCCCTTTAGTAAGGCTGGACTGACAAATAACGAGAACAACAACAACTAGGGGTGTGTGTGTGTGGGGGGGCAAATGCCCCTGCAACGCTCCCTACATTGCTCCCTTGAGGCCCAAAATGCAAGAGAACGCCTTGCAGAGCCCTGCCAGGTGCTGTGATCAGGAGCTAGAAAACCAAAGCTGGAGATCCCTGCTCTGCCTCCAACTTTGTGACCTTGGGCGCATTTCTTAACCTTTCTGACTTCCAGGTCCTCATCTGCCTGTGATATCCTCGCAGGTTTATTGTAAAAAATTGAACAAAATAGTGCTTGGGAAATGCCTGGCACACAGTAAGAACTAACACACTTTGGCGGGATGCTGGGTGAATTCTGTAGGTAAATGTGCAATGAGATGAGGCTTTGCTTCCCAGCAAGTGGCCAGCGACACTTTTCACATAAAGCCAGGCCCTCCCATCTCGCACCTCTCAGATCCCTTCGCAGCATTTGGGCCCATTTTCCTACTTGGTCTCTTGGCCCCAAATATTCCTTCCGTCCCACTCGCACTCACTCCCTTGACTTTCCACTTTCTAGAAGAGACTGCTCCTCCTCATGGGAGTCGGGCCCAGGACTCTTCAGGAAAACCTCCAACAAAGACCAGAGCCCTGCCCCCCGCCCCCCCTTGAGGACTCTGAGCTCCCACGTAGGGACCCAAAGGTGACACCAGGGGTCACCAGGTTTGGGGTCCTGAGCAAAGATGAGTCGAGAAGATCTTCCAGATCCAGAAAGAGCCTGGGTTCCTCATGCATTTCCCCGCAAAGGTGACGCCCCAGCAGCTCTGAGGAAGCCCAGGTAGGATGCCTCTGGCCTCCACAGCCGGCAGAGAGGGCCTGAGACCCTGTGCCTCCAAGGGCGGACTGCACCTGGGAAGGCTTCTTCCCGAACGGGCGCTCTTCTGCCACGAGGGCACACGTCGGGCAGCCCAGCAACTCTAACGGCTCTTTCTCTCGTATGTGGGAAACCAGCCTGAGCGGCCGTGG